GAGTTCTCAACACAGCAGTTACAGGACTTTAACCAAATGGAACTTTGTAACTGAACAGGAAATTATGTCTGTCTATAGAATTAAAGAGAAAATATTAGTACAAAAAATGAAGCTACTTAAACAATTTACAATGAAAGAAATGTATAATAAAGTAAACAAATATTACGTTTTTTTTTTTTTTTTTTTTTTTTTTTTTTTTTTAAATTTTGATACCCCATAGATCATAAATCATGATTTCATATATTTAAAAATTTTTTACAAGCCATCTTACTAGATTTAAATTGATGATCTAATATCGGGAAAAATTCCAAATCTGGAATCGCCGAAGTCCTGATAAGTCTGGTCTCCAAGCTCTGAAGTTATGCAAGCTTCGAAGTTGATACAGCTCACTAACAAAAACCCTTAAAACAGTGAAAATCTTCTATGACAATATGTTTCAACTTCTCACTGCTATTGAAGCTGGATCCCATCAAGAAAGTGAGTCTTTTTTCCCAAATGCATTTTTCTTTCACAAAAGAAAATTTTTTTTGTTCAGTAAGCTGCTGTAAATCAATCCATATTCATTCACATTAAAAAATGTCACTTGAACCATATTATTTGCCTAGTTCTTTAGCACTGAGCTTTTCCAGTCCATAATGTCATTACTTTCATCAACTGGATCAATGTCGAATATTGGCTACCCTGAATTTTTTTAACATGCCTTATCTTCAGTCTTTCCAACCATCCATTACTGGCTGTAAAGTTTTCTTCTCTGAGTTCGACAGCAATTTGAAGCCTTTTTTTTTTTTCAAAATAAAAGTGAAAGACCAGCCCATTTTGTATCCTGGCAAATTTTATCGAGGTGACTTAGAGCTTCCTTGATTTCTTTATGGGGAGAAGCCCACTGCTGTTTTTTTCATTTATTATCACAATTTACAGTGTCTTTTGATGACAAAATGTCATTTAATGTTTCAGGAATTCCATGAGTTTTGCAAAGGCAGCTTTTGAGTGATTTGATTTTTTAAACTCCTCAGAAATGCTCCCTTTTGTTTAAAAATGTTAAAATTTTACACTATTTCTGATATTCTACTGAAAAGTATGAGCATTCAAATTTCTGCTTTCCAACTACAGAAGACCAGGAATGACCCAAGAAAACTTTCAGTTGAATACACATGCCAAGATCTGCTCCATCTGTCTATTTTTCGACAAATGCTAGAAGTACATACACGTGTTCAGTTGTGCGAATGAGCAGGAGACAGAAGAGGGACTGAGAATGCACTGTAAGCTCCCCTTTTCCAAGGTCAAAGTGACCTTAACCTCTAAACTAGAAAAAATTACTTATTTAGCATCTAAATACTGATAGTTTAAGTTTTAGAAACACTTTTAAGATGAAGGCAGATTATTTTACTATTTTTTCTTTATTCAATTGGTCATGACTTCACAAAAGTAATGGTTTAAATGGGATGATGGTTTAATGAGGATTGATCGCATTATAATATAAACACACAAAACTGAAATAAATGCAATTCCATTTCAAAATAATACGTACCTGTGCATAAATTGAAACACTTATTAATTATATTACTTAAACACACATTAATTAGGAGTGTAGATACCATTTTGATCCTCACTAATTATAATACAAATGCCATTCCAATTTTGATTGTTGTTATATTTTATTTCCATGAGTTGAGCAATATAAACCATGCTATAATTATACTTAATTCCAGCTTACTACAGTAAACATTAAAGTAACTTTTTCAAAGAAAAATCCAACTTTTTAACTACAAGAAATTTACTTTTTATTATAGTTTTAGCAATACAATCTATGCTACAATTACATTTAATTCCAGCTTACTGCTGCAAAAATTAACCTTTTCACAGATCAATACAACTTTTTACATTTTAATCTAGTTTTCTACATAAGTTCCTACTACAATTTAAATGCTTTTTAACACATTACAAATAATTTTAGGGATACTTATCAGGTGAGAAGTTATGATTCAATATTGCACAGATAGAAAAAAATTTAAGAGCACAATGAACTGAATGGTTTTTTTTGGGGGGGGAGGAAAAGGGGTCAAAACAAAGCTTTTGCAAGTATTAACAATGTTAATTAAATGTAGAGTTACTTTATATATCAGAGATGATTTCAAGTAATACTGTTTTTCCAGCAACTATACAGTTCTTTTCATAATATAACATGGAATTTAACATTTATCCCAACTGCCACTTTCTTAGAGTTCTCTGGAAAAAATAACTGTAAATAATTTCTTTAGTATAACCAAGTAACACACCTGAAAGCTACTAAATTTCTGATAATGAAAGATTAATTAGTTATGTTATTAACTTTGTTACAATGCTGGCAATTTCTTCCTTTTCCCCCCTCTTCCATGCTTCAGTTGACAGTACATCACTTTTATTAGTTTCCAGTTCATATGTACTATAATGATTGCTAATATTTGTCGAACACTCCACTTTTTTCTTTTTGCAAATTTAACATGAATGATAGTATTAGAAGAGAATTTTCCTTTATTAAAAGTGCAGATGAAAATTAAGGATATGTGTCTTCATGCTTAGACACACAGCATGAAGATGTTTTCCAGTCACTTAATTACTCATAAATGATTAAAAAAAAAAGTCCACTTCTAAGTTGAGTGCTTACACACTATCACTTAACTAAATGTGACTATTTTCCTGAATCAGAGCTTCATCAAGGTAAACATCATCTTTTGAGGCAGGCATGCTTAGTCAGCAAGATGGCTGCTCACCTTGCCCCTGCACCCTGCTTGTTTAATGTTACATTGCCCATACACTGAAAATTAGTACTATACATTTAAAAAAAAAAAAAAAAAAAGTGCAATAACCTAATCCCATTTCCTATTTAATTAATTATTGAAGTTTCTGTTAACACAGCCATCATACAGCTAATAATTTGCCATACTGTGTGAACTTCTATGCCATCTATCAGTGGCATTCGAGTGTTACCAATCTCTTATTTTACTTTTGAGCCTTTTAATTTGATGTACAAAAATGCAAAAGCTTAAGATTTGCCAATCAATTTCAGATGCACTCTCTGTGAAGATCTAATTATTAAGAATAAAAGCTACTGAAGTAGATTTTCAAGTTTAAAGATCATGGAAAGGATGTTTCTAATCAGTTATAATAAAGCATCAAACCATCACTGCAGCCTGTGTTAGATATACAGCAAATCTATCAGAAATTATATCCTAAATCATAAAAAAGTCAACAGAAATAGTCTCCTGCTTTTTTTAAATTACATCAGACTCCTATCACATGAAAAACTATGCATCAGATTCACTATCTGAAATAAAATTATGTCTCAGACTCCTGTCTTTTCAGTCCTTCCATCAACAAATTATCATTTTTCCAATACCAGAACCACTCTTTTGCAGGAAAAATTAATTATGCATTATCTAGGTATCTACCAGGTAGCTGAAGACTACAAAAGGATTTGAATTTTTACCAATACAACCAAAACAACTGATAAACATTTTAGAGTCAAGAACAATATACAGCAAATAAATTCATGTAATATAAACTCACAATCCAAGAAGTAACATTCAGAAAATTTTCCTTCACAGTAGATGCAAGCTTTTTTTAACTCAAAATAATAATAATAATAATAATAATAATAACAATAAGAAGAAAGAACCCCATGATATTAGTAATAGTAATTTCAAATATGATACTCACAGAGAAAACGTTTTTAAACATGAAAAATTAAATTCTTAAAATTTTATACAGTTTCATCTTATTGAGGATAAATAACAAGGTGAGGGTGCTACACAGATTATGAGTTGCCCAGGTTCTGATACAACACAGAAATAATATTTTTTCAAGTCTGTTTATCTTTAATACGAGCTGAACTCAGAAAATGTGTAAATAAACACCTAAACAGTATTACAGAAAAGTGCTAATGCTTTCAGAATCCACATGCTGCAATTTTTAAGAATATGTAGCAACAATACATTTTAATTCATTCAGGAAGAGCTTGTCATGTGCACTGCCAGCTAACATTATTTCATGGCTGGGTATGTCATTTATGAATCACCATTTAATTCACTCTGTAGCTGAACATACCACATAGAACTTTTTACATAGAACATTTAATTAGCATTTTTTGTTGCCACTAGATGTAGCTGTCATCTGTTATGGTGAAATGTATCGAAAGTGATGCATGCTGACCTTCATTCCTATGCAAAGTTTTAGTATTTGGTATTTTGTTTTGGAATTAGATCGAGATTAGTGGGTGTTGAGTGATGTATTGGCTCTTTAATTGGGTCAGTTGATATAAACAAATGTGCACATTATGGATGCTTTGGAAACCTCCCCTCTCCAGGATATAACAGGCTAGATGTTTTATCTTTTCAAAGGTTTTACTTAACAGAAGAGCATATACAAATGATAAATGAGTCTTTTTCTCCCACAGATGATAGTGATGAAATTTCTGCAGAATTGCAAAGTGATAGTTATACTGCTTATAAATACGGGCATATTTACTTTTTCATTTGTATTTAGAGGCAAGTCAAAAATTATGAATGCTGGTTTTTTATGAAAGAGATTTTCAATAATTTTTATTAATGTGTTGGATTAATAAAATCTGTGATTGGATGTTTTTGCCATATATATTTATTTGAGGTAAGTCAATTACATTACTCTAGAACTGATTATTTAAAAAAAATTAAGAAAACTATAATGTTTTCAAATTAATTCTGAAAACTACCTGAAGCAGTGCGAAATGAACATTTTCACATGACAATGTATCCAGTTAGTGTGCCTGAGCTGCCCATCGTAAATGGGTTAATATGATTGGAAGAGAAGAATTCTAAGTCAAGAGTATTTTCATTTAGTTCAGAAGGAACCCATAAAGGATGACAAGACATATTAATGGCAGATAAATAATGACCCTGTGACCCCCCCCCGAAAAAAAAACAAAGATGACGACTTTGTCTTACGTATTTAAAATACAGATTAGTCAAACTGTAAAACTAACTTACCTAAAAATAACTTGCTAAGTTGTTATGAATTGACAGAAAAAGGTTCGCATTATTCCATGCATTCAAACTGCAACCTACATAACATAAGAACACATATTGAAATACAATAAAAATAGAATTAAATACAACAGACTGTATATTACTTAATTTGAATATCACTTTTAAACACAGCATCATTTATGCATTTGCAACTTTTATAATAATGCTCAAGTGCATTACAACTTCCAGTTTGCTGCATTGCTTTGAGAGCCAAATATTGCTTGTACCGTAATTTCCGGAAGAAAGGCCACATCAGAGTTCGTTATTGCAAGGCATGTGGAGTCGTGTCCGCCTTTGAAAAAAATTGCAGAAAAGGCAGGGGTGGGGAGAGGATGGGTCCTGGAAGATTCATTGAATGGCAGAGGAGAGAGACTATTCAAACTGATGAGAATGTTGATTTGAAAGGGGGAAGAATGTTATTGTTCTGACATCTCGTTTAGGGTGAATAAGGCATGTAGGTCCGTTCAAGGGAAAGAACGTAAACAAAATAACGTTCGCAAAAAGCAACTGAGTGGTCTTTTGTGTCGGAACAGCACCAGTCTATGCACAATGACAAGGCCATCCAAACTATGTACAATGACCATCATAGGAAATATTTTATTTTTAGTGCACCTAAATGCCGCATGGGTAGAAACGCTGCACCCGCTGAAAATTTAAGTTTTAAACACGTAAACACCGCGGTGTTTCTTCCGGAAATTACGGTATTAATATCATCATCAAACTGATTAAGCAAAAGCAGTGATCAATATTAGATGAATTTAAAAAGGAGAGGGGGGTAGGTACAAAAGGAAATTTCCACTTTCTCATATAAATTTGAATTAAAACACCCTCACACTCAGTAGAACACAGTTCACTTTCAAACTTCTAATTTATTTTTATCATATGTATTTGCCTCCTAACAGATTTAAATATTACTCCCATTACTTCATGATTACTAAAATAAAAAAGATGTAATATTAAATTATGTAATAGTCAGCACTTGTGCTCACAAGCTATCTGCATTTAAAATAAAAATAATAGTAATATAATAAGAAATATGCTTTATACAAATATGGTGCTAAACAATACAAATGGAAAGTAAGTAAAAAATTTTACTGTACATGCAGTCATTAAAAAAGGGGGGGGGTATTCTGGTGAGACATGAATAAATAAGATGCAGTATTCAACACTATCAAATAGCCACCTGGAAGTGACTAGTTAGCACTCTGATTTCTTATTCAAATGGGCACACTGTGTCCTTATTGAAAACTAACACTCAAAATCCAACTCAAAAACAATTTTTATCGCAAAAACGAAAAAGTCATTACGATAAACTAAATAAAATACCCAAAGTGTTAAAGATTTTGCATCAAATAAGAAAATGTGCCATTTTTAATTAGTAGAGCTGTAAATATGCTTTATCAATAGAATGATAGATTGAGGGGGACTTGGTCCTATAAAACTTGCAGTTTTGCATCTAAAAGTGACCATTTTTAACAGTCATTCCTTTTCTTATTATAAGACACCAGAATTTTTGGCAGAAAGAAATTCCAAATTTGGTGAGTGGAAAGTGGTTAAAAATCAGCAATTTGATGGAATATGAAACCTCCTCATATGACACCTGCAACATTTATTTAAAAACTTAAAAATCTGTGGAATTCATCTTCTCTCTCTTTTAATCAAAAAGAAGAAATGAATTTTATTACATTTACCATTTCAAAATAAGAAAATATAATGCTCTCTCTATAGAATGCATGTACATGTTTTGACAGAATGACCATCCTACATCACAAATAACTTGTAATTATTTTATGAACACTGAAAGTGACATACTTCTGCCTTTTTATAGCTACATTTAACCAGGTATGCAACTCAAACTGCCTTTAAAAACCGAATTTTCATTTATATTTTTCTGTTAACTAAATGAAAGAATAAAATTTATTTTTTGTTCAGGAAATTAGAAACTCACTTCAAATAAAATTACTACAATACAAAATGAAATTCTTGTTAAAATTGGAAACCATCCAACTACAGCTTGGTACTCATATATAATTAGATATGTACTGTGTTAAAAATTATTTTCAGCATTCAAACCCAATTTAAAAATAATGCCAATTCCCATGAGAAATATGCATTATTTTTAATATCAATTTTAACAGTACTTAATGCATTATATTATTTGTACTGCATAACGCAACACTAACTTAAAAGTTATAACAAAATTAAATTACTCTTGAGACACAAAACAGCCACAAAAAGTTATCAAGCTATAACTTTAGAGTAACAGAGTAGTAAGCATTTTTAGCTTTAAATTGAACCATGGAGCTGCACTGAAACATAATGTGACAAAAAGGAAAGACTGATGATGTCAAGCGACTTTTCACAAAGTTCAAGAACTTACGAACCATGATTATGTTAATGACATTCATCATAAAAGATGTGCATCTAGTTTATACACTCAGGAACACTGACAATAGTGCACCAAGAAGGAAGAACAGTACAACTGCAAATAAGTACAGAACAAGTACAGTGAGATCTGATATACAAATGATCCAAGTTTGGTGCCAATGCACATAATTACATATATTGCAGTGACGCCGCAATTAGAAAATAGGGCCTACATAAGCTGGTGCATAGATAAAGATATACAAACGTGACATCACATTCCAACTCTAGGAGGACTTTAGTAAGCAAAGAATGGCAGTTAGATATGTAAGAAGACATTTCTCACAGTTCAGTGAATTTGAGAAGGTCCTGATCATTGGCATGAAAAATAGCAGGCTTGTGGTTGTGCCGTGGCATTCGGAGTGTACCATCAGAGCAGACTGAGAGTGGTGGATAAGAGATGGTATCCACGTGTAGAGAATCATGTTATGACAACAAGGCAAGAGGTTTGAAGGATCATTGTGGATCCCACAGTGACTTGTTCCATTATACAGTTAGATATAGAGGTGCCAGTCATTCCACAAACCATTTTCAGATGCCTTACAGAAGCAAATCTGCAATTCAATCTGCATTTTCATGTACAGCCTTTAACACCGAAAAAACAGTGTCTCCATCTACAGCGGTGCCACACCAGAGCAACGAAGAATACGCCAGATTGGTAAAATGTGGTATTTCGTGATGAGTCTTGGTTTGCTTTGGAGACAGATGTTAACACATATGGTTGTAGAGGCATCCTGGTGATAGGTACAACTTCACCTAAGCTGTCGTGAGACGCACTGCCCATAAAGCAGGTGCAATGGTCCGGGGTCCATAGTCTATGATAGCCATAACTGTGGTACATGGGACCTTAACAGGCCAGTGTTATGTTGATGACATTCTTCAGCCTTCCATGGGACCTTTTCTATGTGGTCTTCCAGGGACAATTTTGCAGCAAGATAATGCTTGTTCTCATACAGCTCGAGCTGTTCAAGACTTTCTATGTTATGTTCACTCTTCCATGGCTGGCCCACTAGCTGGACTTGTCCCTTATAGAGTATGTGTGGGGCCAGCTGAAATGGAAGATGCCACCGTGTCACTCTGTACATCATTAGGAGGTGGCTATTCAAGATTTGTGAGCCCAATCATCCTCAGGACAATATCAGACATCTATTGAACTCAGTGCCAGACAATACACACTGTATTTGTTTAATTGTCTTATTTTTGGGATCAAATTCAATCTCACATCTGTATTATTATGCATATTAAATTTCATTTCAATCTGATGCTCCCTTCTACATGCACTATTTTCAATGTTCTTGAGTATATATTCATAAACAAACATTCAAGAAACACTTAGAATTCCTAAATATGAATTATATATAAAATGTAATAGTAAAGAGAAAATTTACTACTGCTTCAGCTTAAAAACACTAAAAATATTCTTTCACTGCTATATTTCTGACATCAGCAGAATACACAGCACAAAAATGGAAAGAACCAAAATGCAAATATATATCCATATATGGAATGGTAGAGCTCCCTGGGCAGAATTTCTTATTTCCTCCTCATTTTAAAGCTTTCAATTCGTTCCTCATTAAAGAAAGTATGCACATGCTCTAAATTTACTGGGCTGCACATGCCTAAAATGACAGAAAAAGAATCTTTGCAGATACTTTGTTTTGAGGTGAATTTCGTGGTGGTGTGTTTTGGACTTCCCCATTTTAGAAAGAATAATAGTTTTATGCTGGGATTTAAACTGAAGATTATTGAATATTTTGAAGAGAATGGAAACAGAGCTGCTGAAAGAGAACGGAGTGCAAGTAAAAAATTAATAAGGGACTGGAGAAAATCCAATCGCTACAAGAAATGAATGTAAATAGGCGAGCATTCAGAGGACTAAAGCTTGGAGTTTTCCCAATGATACAAAATGAAATTCTTTCTTATATTTCAAGAAAAAGGTTGGATGGATGAAAAAACGATGAAAGATTGGGTTCGCAATGTTTGGAACAAAAGGTCTGGGGCATTCCTAAAAAAACTAGCCATGCTGGTACTCTTCCGAGGACATCTTGTTGATGATGTGAAGAAAGATCTTTCAGAAGGCAAAACAGATCTTGTCATAATTCCTGGAGATCTTCCATCAATTCTGCAACCATTGGACATATCAGTTAACAAACCGTTTAAAGACAATATGAGAAAAGTATATGGATGGCCAGTGGGAACAAAGGAAAAATCCCACTAGAAAAGTAAGTTGTCCATTCCTGGAACTAATGTGTACCTAAATACTACAAAGCTGAACTTCAATAACAAACAATATAATTTTAGAAAGTCTTAAGAAGACTGGTACCTCCAATGCTTTGAACGGAAGCAAAGATTCTTCAGACACCAATTCACATTACAACAGTGATAGTGACACCTTTAGTGAAAGTTATTATGAATTATCTATTATGGTATTAGAATTTTTTTTTCAAAATGTTCACAAAGATTATTTGTGAATTTTATGTCTATAAAAATGTTACCATAAAATGAAAAATGACTCTTTTTCGTGTGCAACTGATGAAAAGACAATTTAATAAACAGCACGTAATCTCAAAACATTTAGTAAGTTACTAATTTTATTATAATATTTATATATTTTTATACCAGTAATGTTTTAGCATTATACTGTATAATATTGTGCAGTAGATTTGCTTGCATAATAGTTGCACCAAGCCTTTCACATGAAAAATTGGCAAAAAAAGTGTGACTATTAAGTGAGTAAACATGGTAGTACCAATGTAGAATTAATTTTATTAAAAACAGTAAATATGGCTGATGCTTAAAAAAACTGATTCGGTCAAGGGGTCCCTAGAACATTATAATTTGTGTTCCCCACTTAAAAAAAGTTTCAGAAATGCTGGTTTAAGCTATTTCTATTGGAGACTATACAAAGCTCTAAATATTTTCAAATCCCTCAATTCAAACTTTTTATGCTTCTTTAGAAATGCTTCGTTTCCAACTCCATTATCTTAACTTTCCATTACTTCCCCCTGTTTTTTAATTTGCCTTTCTTGCCCAGTGTACATTCTATATAGGATTTAAGCAATACTAAATAATGCTGGGTTAACTAATTTCCTAGATACACAAAATACCTCACTAATGAGATGTTTTATGCATCAGCAGTGCTAACAGAGATACATAAAACATTGAAAGTCAGATAACTAATCTTTGTCAATTGTACTTGGTTTTGACAGCTAACAGTAAAAGCTACTTCTTAATGAAGAGTGTGACTCTACAGCTATATATCACAGGCAAAGATAATATCTGTTTAACTGCAATAACCTTTTATGAAACTTTCTTGAATCCCTCCTCCTTTAAAGTTAATCTGAAAAAATTGTGAAAGCCTAGGGGGGAATGCTTCATTACAAAATAACCTACAGGGTAAAAACAACTTTTTCTCATGCAGGGTTCCCAATGAAATTCCAGAAGAATCAGAGAGAAAATTAAGAAAAGGTTTCCCATTTAGGAAAAACCTTTTAAATTTTCCCAACTTCCTCTGATTTCTCATGACAAAGCAGTACAACTTTTCTGACCAAATATAAGGTACTAGTTATTAAATAACATATCACTAACTTAATTATTTATTTGTTTGGCATGAAATACAATGCAATAACTAAGGAACAATGTAAAAACTTATCTTAGTTATTAGCATGAAAACAAGCAAAGCATTGCAGGAAATATGATGTTTTTAATTACGTATTTTTTAAAAAGAAATACCAAAATGAAAAAAAAAAAAAAAAAAAAAAAAACTTTTGTTCATTTTATAATTCATAATAAATACTATTATTTTGTTTCTTCAAAATAATAAGAAAACAGAATTGAAATGGATTAAAAAAGTGTACAATTAATATACTTATTTACTACAATACAATAACTTCTTAACTATGCTATTTATATTAGAAGGGCAATTATACTTCTAACTAGATGGGGACATGGAACGATTTCATTTCTAAAGAAAAAAGGGTGAAGAACAGCTCTTACATTTTCATTTCCATGACTTTTGAGGTGACTGCGAACCCTATCATGAATTCCTTAAAATTTTTAAAATTAATCAGCAGCCAATATTTTGATATAACGTGACAGGGCAAAATCATCCCTCTATATACCACTGTGTGATAAAATTCTTATGTTAAAAGCTTTGTTTCCTCATAAAAATGTTACAATTATACGGAAGATATAAAGTTCTGATATAAATTAAATGGAATATAATAACTTTTAAAAAGTTACCCACCCTCCCAGATTTGTCTTCCCAATAATATAACTGTCACTAATAACCAATCAGTTATATTAAAGAGGGTAGAGAGAAAGATAAATTCTTTAAAAACATTGGTTTAAGAGCCTTCTTCTAGACTTAAAATATTGGAATAATTTTGGAATATTAATCTAAAAAATAACAAAACAAAATAGCATAAAGGTTTAAAAAGAGAATTCTTAATTTATACATAACAATTTGCATAAAAGCCTTCTAAAAACAATAATTACACCACATACATAAATTATGCATGCACAGGCATAAATTACAGTAAAGATCTGAGATATATAAAAGAAAAATTTTCTTACCTGTGATAATTGAATTACATGAACTTCAAGGAGAAACTTCTTCCAGCTAGGTAGGTGATATCTAAATTATCTTTTACTTGAGAATTCTAGCTTAAGAAAGAACTCTGATGGCATTTAACATTAGGCGACAAACAATTGCTTCACTTATATGACATGAATATTTCAAATTTAAAAGTATATTCATTTCAACCTACACATAATACACAATACTAGAACTAAAAACATATTTTCTTTTAAAACATAAACAGCAAAATGCATGTGGCAGTATCATTTCATACATAAAAATGAAATATATGTGCACCTGCTCCACTGGCAAATCCAGTCCCCAGAAAGTGAAGCCATTTCATAGTGATGAAGGTACTGATTAACTTCTTGCAGTCGAGACATGAAGTACTTACTTTCCAATGCACCAGCTTGCCAGTCAACATGCCGAGTCTGCACAGAGAATTATCACAACTACTTACTATACAAAATTTTACAGATAAAAATTTTAAAACTAGATTAAAATGCAATTGTACAGCATATCAAAAAACATATGTGAACACAAATGAATATGCTACCACATGTTAAAAATGTTCATCAAACTGACAAATTAATTACCTGTAACTGAATCAGAATAGTACTAAGCGATGCCAAAGAAGAGTGACTTGACAAAAGGAAGGTTAACTTATCCACTAATACAGAAGACAAATCCATGATGCTCATCTAAAAGAAATTAAACAGAACACATGGTTATATGTCAAAAATGCATGCTATGTAAAGCAAATATATATAATAATTTATTTACTAAAGAAATATTTATTATATTATCTCCTAAGATTAATTTACATATATATCTACTAAAGAACACAAAAATGGGGTTCAAACCTGATAATTACAGAAAACTTCCACTGCAAAATAATAAAATTCAGCAAAATGCTATGAATAATAATTACACTAGCTTTGAAATTCTTCAGAATTCTAGCATCTTGAAACTCCTCTTCAGTAAACTAGTACAATTGATAATAATTTTAAATATTACTTCCCATTTCTGGTCACCAGTGGCCAAGTAATGAAACCATCAAATACTGGTTTTTAATACACCTAACCCGAGTTTGAATCCAGGTGAACGATTTGACTGCATTATTGATTTATGTGGTTTACTCCATGTGTAACATTAATATGAGCCAATTTCCCTGAGAAAGTCATTCATAAAGTCATCTCTCTTTAGGCATACAGCCCTTGCTTACTTTGCCATATTTGAGTAAACACGAGACAAGATGATTAAGTAAATAATTTATTCATGAGCAATAAAATATATCAGTAATCACTGTGATAAATTAGGCCTGCATTAAGGTAAAATAACTAAAATTACACAAAAAGTATGATTTAACACTACTTAGCAATGTTTGATTACTTTATACTGAGTATAAATTGCATTACATTAAACCATGGCAGCATAAAAGTGTAACTCAAAAGCAATTACTGTATATTTCTAGACATAACTTGAGAATTTCCAATAATTTTTTCTTTTTCTCATGAAGTTTGGGAGTTACATCAGTTAAAATAATTTCATCACAAAAAATGGTACTACAGGTTAAATAACCAAAAAAAAAAAAAAACAAAAAAAAATCTTCTATTTTATCTTAATATTTCTAAAGCAAATCTTGATTTTGGTTTCTGACTCAAAATTTTCAAATAATTGTAGGAAGTCTCTCTCTACAAAAGGAAAATCTGACAGATGTCAACATCCCTCATTTTAACAGTTATTATTATTGTCCATATGCTTCATAGATGTTACTTTCAGTTACGTGCACAACATTTTTCAGCAAAAAGTCGCAACTTTTATTCTAAAACTTGCAAAATACATGCTTATATTTTCACATCATAGCATAAATGAAGAACAGTATTTTACTCATAAAACTTATAGAAAACTGCAGTGAAAAATTGATTGGAATTGAGAATAATTACTACAACTTAAAATCAATTTAAATTTCACCATGCTTTAGCCAAAATGCCAAATGATGCACATCATAAAATTGAGAGAAGTGAGAAAGATTAAACACACCCTTTCATTCTAGAAGGCTTTTACTCTTATTTTTCGAATGGAAGCTGAGGGTGAATTGGTACCTTTTTACCTTGTCTGACAAGGTCCAGTTACTTATAATTTTGCCAATATTTATGGCTGCATTTAAACGGCAATTTGACATTTGGGTTACACATGCCAATTTTAGTTTTGGTTCAATTTTCGGCAAGAAGCCTTGCCTCTTGATTTAGATGTGAATCGGCATACACTCAGAAATACAGTGAAATTTCGCTTCACAAACTTCTTTCCTGTTCATCATCCAAAATGTTTGCAAACCTAAACTATTTTCCCATGGAATTAATGCAAAATACATAAATCCATTCTTGGAGAATAATGATGACTGCTTACTTAAAATTTACAACAATTTCTTGCACACAAGATCATAACAAAAAAACCAACAGACCTAAACCTTAAATCTAAGACAAAAATTAACAAGATATTAAACAGATATAACAAATGAGTATTTAATTTTACTATACCCATCTGAAGGAGATAAATGACATAAGGGGGAACTGTTGATAAAAAGAAATGTTACTGTTTGGATGAGGATCTGCTTCCATAAAAGCACCTGATTAACTGTCTCTCTGGAGCATCTTATTTTATATTTTCTTTGTCCCTTAGCATCATTTGACTCCGGTGGAGACAGAGCCTTAGTTTTACTCAAAATTTGACCAATGTGATTTGTTGTCTTCACTTTGAAATGTTTCTAAAGTGAATCCCAGCACTGTCATTGAAAATGCTTTGCTATAGCATACTGCCACTTCTTCAGTTTGAATTTTTTATTACATGAAACTTTGCATTTTACTCCATTTTGTATAAACTTTGCAGATCAAAAGAGGTGGGCATATCTTTTTAATCTGCCTTCGTCAGAAAACACTTTTTCCACAACTGCCTTTTGTTCCTGCTTCTGAAGGTAGTTCAGTTCTTTCCAGTTGAATGCAATTTTACGGTCATTTAGTAACTCCTTCATGTCTTCCTTATTCACTTCTAAGCCCATAATTTTCCCTACTAACATAAGATGATTGATAACAAAAAACAGTGTCAAAACTCCCAGTCTGGCCATTAACGTCCTTCAGGTTAAATTTATGATCCTGTAGATCAAATTTACTAATGAGAGTAAAGCAATGGAAAATATTAAGATGATGCTTCTAGAAGTCCCTGATAATTACTTCTGTATGAGAGGTTACCTCAAAATACTTTTGAAAATCATTTGTTGCTGACTTGTGTATTTGTAATTCAAGGCACCTTTCATCATTCAAGACAATTTTTGTTCAGATAACTTGTTCATGAATTAATTTGTTCATGATGTGAGGCATTCATGAACTGAGATTTCACTATAATATAGAAATATTATGATAATTGCAGAAATACTACTTTATGAATTATGCTGCTGCCCAGCCGCTATAGAGATCAGCGACCCTGACTGCCGCAGCGATGGGCCTGGATTCAAATTCCCGGCGCTGGCATGATCGTAATTGTCCATCTCTTCATAGGAAGCAATGAAGGCTATCTATTAAGTGTTTCCATAATGAAATGGCCACCACTTCGGCCCTTGTAGTGGTGCATGTATAATGGGCATTAAATACAGTGGCCGGCCATTAAAAAAAAAATATATATATAGTGCTAGCTGATTTTATGAATTCCAATTTCTTTGTTCAAATGATTAAATTAATGGAATTTAACAACAACAGTCAAAAACACAAAAACCTTCAGAAAATAAACCACCATAAAAACTAAATAAGTAAATATTAATCTTTATCTGGTGATGACTGCAAATGAAAAGCCTCAGTATATCTGAAAAAGCATTAGTCTCTGTCTTCAGAAGAAAACTATTCTGCTTGTGCACATTACTTCACGCATTTTACAAAATAATATGATAGACAATTTATGCAAATAAAGGCCATTTTCTGTTTATTACTTGCATTCAAGTCAGTAACCAATTCTTGTTTTTAAATAAAAGATATTTCTAATAAAAGTGATGCTACTGCAGCTCACAACAGAAAGGAACATGCACCACTAAGTAAAGGATCTAAACATGACTTAGATTAAACACTGGAAAAGTATCAAAGAATCACAAAACCATGTTTTGAACATCTTTCCAGGGTTCATAGCCACATTTTAGTTAAAAAAATAAGCACCTATAAGCACTTTTCAAGAACATTTTAAGAAAAAAATAAGCACCTGTCTAATTACATTATACACAACTGCATAACCTTAAAAATTAGACTTGTAATTTAAAATATGAGAAATGCAGTATTTATTAAGAAAGAATAAGCATTACCTCAACCATGGAAAATAATTACTTTTTTTTTTTTTAAATTTTAAATAACAGTTCAATTTACAGAACTAGTTTACAATGAGAGGAAAAAAAAACTATGCAGAACTAAACTATATTACAAGATTTAATGATGAAATGTCAGTTCAAAATAGAGAAAATAAATAATAATAAGGCATATTTATTGTATTCACTTGGAACCTAATAATAAATACAATTTTATTTTTCCACTCATATTGATATTTAAATAATTTAAATCTAAATTCTGAACATTTTCTAAATTTTCATTGTATATCAGTTTTCTCTTAACAGATATTGCAAGCAAAGTAATTTAAGTAAAAAAGAGGAACATTTCTGAAATCAGAAGACAGAAATTTGCTTCATGCAGTCATCCTTTAACAGTAAAATCTTAACTAACCCGCATACTTGGAAATTGGTGAATATTCGGACCGTCGAGTGTAACTTGAAAAAGAAGTGCGGAGGGGGGCGGGGGGTAGACTGTAGCCGCCTTTTTAAATTTTTCCGCTATATAAATGCTTTTGACATTTCGATATGCGCATCATATAAAAATAAACCAATGGAACTGAAAAATATTCTGCTTAGCAAGCACAGTAAAACTCTTTTAAGTGTTCATACACAAATCTCGGACAGAACATCAAAATTAATTATCTCTGCAAAATATTGCAAACGTTATTGCGCAATATGTGCGTCGTAATTCTTCCCTACATGATATTACGCAATCGGAATCAACAGCTGCCGGTATTGGGAGAATAAAGAACTAAATAACTGGGGTGTTTTTCATTCTAATTTTCAACAGACGGCATTAAATTTCCAGAATACAATCATTCTTCGCTTGGGTTGGTAGACCGCAGAACTTTTAGTCCTATTCAATCCAGATTGGATAGTGACCAAAAAAAAAAAAAAAAAAAAAAAAAAAAAAAAAAAAAAAAAAGTCCGTTGCTTGTTTTGCAGCGAACTGTAATAATTTCAATATTCGAAATTTTGCGGAGAAAGGGGAGAACCTCCCAATCTTCGTACTGTATAATGTATTGGCCAAAAAAAAAAAAAAAAAAAAAATATTTTGACGATTACTTTCGCATTTCTTTGACCAATAGAACGACAGGCACCTGTCTGTACTCTTCGTGCACACCAAAGGTTATGCTAATGCAGAGAAAGGGGAAAAGCTATTTCCGGGAGTATGATTCACCATCTGATGATTCCATATAAGGAAGAAAAGTTGTTTATTTAGTTTCGGCTTTGGTACGAGGAGAAGAGATGTGCACGTTCATTAAAAAAAAAAAAAAAAAAAAAAAAAAAAAAAAAGCACTAAAAAGCAAAAAAAAGCACTAAAAACAAAAAAATAAG